TGTGGGGCAGGGTGCGGGGCTGTGGGGATTGCTGTGGGGCTGGCTGTGGGGATGTCAGGCAGGGCACAGCAGGGTGTGGGGCGTGGGACAGAGCGTGGCCATGGGTTGTGGGTCTGGGGCATGCGGCTGTGGGGCCTGTGAGCTGGGCATTGAAACGGGGGATGCGGACTAGGGACTGTGGGGCAGCAGCAAGGGTGAGGGGCTCTAGGGGCAGGGCAGAGGTGGATGTGGGTAGATGCAAGGCTGTTGGGAGCTGGGGTGAAGGCAGAGTTATGGGGTGGGTCAGGGTTTTAGATGGCTGGTCTAGAGCATGAGGTGGGATTGGAGGTGTTGGGTCTACTGGTGGTGCCAGGGGCTGCCCTGGAGCAGGGAATGGGGCTTCGGGGTGGGGGATGTGGCATGGGATGTGTGTCCTGATGGGAGCGTGAGGCTACAGGCCCTGGCACTGGAGGCCGTGGGAGCTGCTGTGGGTTGGTACTGGCTATGACTGGGCAGGGGGTGGCCATGGCTGGGTGGCAGAGAAGGTGCTGGTGGGAAGGGAGCTCCTGGCCTTGCAGAGGTGCTGTCAGAGATGACTGATGCCTTGGCTTTGCTGTCCCCTGCTTCTGGGTCCTAGTCTCTGACTGTCCTCTCTGTGGTTCCTCTTCCTTTCCTGTCAGGGCTTGAGGTATTTGGTTTCCTTGGATAATTTGTCTTTCTGCTTGGAGCAACAATTTGGTGCCTTTCTTATTTTAGGGAACTTGCAGCTTCAGGAACATGGGTTTTTAAGGCTAAGGTGGCACGTTTATGTTTCTAGGCAGTGGCTTCAGCACATTTTGGAAAGGAGTTGAAGGAGCAAAGAAGGATTACATAGGCTATGTTACACAGAGGGGTAGCTTATAGGCCTTTTTCAAGGCTGATGGACTGTGAACTGATCCATGGTGTCCTGGTGATGAGATGAGCTGGCAAAACGGGAAGGTAACCCGGTGGTCTGTGTAATGCAGAATGAAGAAAATGCCAAGGAAATTGTGAGGAATTCACTGAACAATGTGACATGCAAGATGTTACAAAAGAGTTGCACAAAGCCTCTGACATATTTGGGATAGAGGAGGGAGAAGATAACCTTACAACTGCTATTGTCATCCATGGTCATGTTACAGAAGTGTCTGGAAAAAGCTTTGTCTCTTCAAAGCCATACAAAGAGAAGAGCTGCCCCCCCCGTCCCCCCCAGCTCTCATCAGCCATATGGCACTTGTGACAAGCCTACCTTGACAAGCAAGGGAGCCAGCAAGTGTCCCTTGGCCGCTCTGACCTTGTGTAGAATCACACATCAGAAAGTATTAAATTGCATCACATATCCTTGAGCGAAAGGTGAGGTTTCTTCTAATCTGGTGGCTGTTGTGCAATTGTTGAAAGAAATGCGTTTTGCTTCTCCCACGTGTTGCTGAGTACTAAATTGAGTGTAACTTGGCACATGGAAGAAAAGCCTTGGTACTGTCACAGGCAGCTTGGGCTGCACAGGTCAGAAGGAGGCTGAACTTGTTTTTATTAAAAGATGGGGAGAGAAGAATACTGCTGTTACAGAAATCCATCACATGCTCTCCATGAATGCTGTGCTCATGTTTTGAGGGTGTGGGGCAGACAAGAAGGGAGAGCCTGCAGAAGTGATTAATGTCTAGAAGGACACTGCATGAAAGGGGGGAAGAGGTACCAGGAAAGGGGCAGACTGATTCTGAGTAATGCAGCAAAGGTTAAATGGCTTACTTCTGTTTAGCCTCTTGAACTACAGGAACACAGGAATAGCCCCTCCTGGTAAAGGGAGTGCAGGGATTCGAGGTGTGTGATTAACCTTAGGGACGTGCTGCTGCCAGATGTGGAGGCAGAAGTTTCACCGGCTTGCCGTTGTGCCTGCCATGCTGATGAGACAGTCCAGTTATAGCTGTGCTTGCGCTTATGCTGTGGCCGGTGTGGCTCTGCCTGCGAGCAAGAGGCAGCGCTCGGAGGTCACGCTGTTGGGGCTGGTGTGGTTGCTTCATGCATGCAAGGTGAAGCTGGTCGTCCCCCCGGGTCGCCGAGAACAGAGCGAGTTCTCTTGCCTAACCAAGCGAGGGGGCTCCTTACCGTGGGGAGCATCAGTAGCTGATGGTGGTTTGACCATTACACTTCAGCTCTTTCCTGCTCTTTAGGAAAGAAGCAGCTTTGTGTAGGTGCTGCTTTCAGTCTCTGAAAATGCAGAGAGGCAGAGTGCTTGGCTGCAGGGACAGTGTTTGTCTCAGACCTCCTCCAAGTGGTTCAGAGGCACGAGGGCTTTTCATGGGCTTGCGGAGCAGCATGTTGGGGTGCTGGGTGTGTAGGGGCTGTACGAGCTCTCCAGCAGCCTGCTCTGCTTGGTGCCAGTTGTGCTGTTGTTCTTCTGCAATAAATTTTGCCAGCGCCTTACGGCTGTCCCTCAAGGCATCCCCTGTTCAGTCTGTGCCTGGAGACTCTGCGACCTGCTGGGGTCCTCTTATTCCTCACAGCTCCCCTTATCTGTTCTGTCCCTCAGTCCAGGCTCCCTCTCCCTGCTGTGCTAAGCGGGATTGGAAACTCTTGTCTCTGGAGCCAGGGCTGCCTGCTGTCAGAAAACACTGCCATCCCTTCTCCTATCCACAGAGACCCCTCTGATGAACAGCGTGACTTAGCACTGGAGTTAACTGCTGAGGAAGAGCCAGTCAGTGCTTGCAACATCAGGAGACACTGGCTGAGACAAGGCCTGGGAAAGCCCTGAATGAAACCTTTAGGCTCCTGAGGGGGTGGGTGCCCTGTCGGTTGTGTAGGCAAGACTTCAGCAGGGCAGAGCGATGAACAGGGCCCTGGGCAAAGACAGTGAGTCTCGGTGACTGGAAGGTGCTTTTTTTTTGTGGAGGAAAGGTGTTTTGTCTAGGTAGAGAATGAGGGGTGCTGCTTGTTTACCAGCAATGTCTTTTGCCACCTGAGCTACAGGTGAGAGGGCTGAAGGTAGGGCAGTCCCTTGCCTTCCAGCCCGTGTCTGACCACAGGGCACACACAGAGCTTTCCTGCTGGGAAGGTTTCACATTGGCAGTGGGTGGTGGGAGTGGAGAACCTGCCCTTCTGCCAAGGCTCTTGTAGGATGCAGCAGGTCCTTACCAAAGCCTCCCAAGGAGTGACTCTTCCCCCAGTTGAGTTGCAAGAATATTGAGGCAGGAGGTGAGTGAGGCAACCTGGCGAGATGTCTGAGTCAGAGATGGGAAGAGACTCCAGGACTCCCAATGCTTTGTCTTCCTCTGACCACAAAGCTGCCTTTCTCCCTGCCCTCCATCTTGGAGGGCGTTTGTGCAAGTCTTGCTCAGCACAGCATGGAAATGGCAGGGACAAGGTGGGAAGCTGGGTGATCACTAGTGCCTGGGCTGTTTGCTTGACCAGTTCTCCCTTGGGAAGCACCTGGGGAGTTACCCTCTGTCTCCTCCTGGCTTGCTCACATTAGAGAAGCATTTTTTGGCGTTTCAGGGAATTGGAGAACAGCAAGGCTTATTCTCGCAGGAGCCACACATTGGTCACGTATGCGGCGAGGCTGCATCGAGAGGGCAAAGTGCAGGAAAGTTCATGCCTTGTTGCCTGTTTTCAACTCTGATCCAGTCAATGCAGCTCTCGATCCCAGATGTGTTTGCAGGCAGGGCTGGAGGCAGCTCCACCAGCTGAGTGCACATGGCTCCTTCAATGCTTTGTGAGGTGCTGGCAGATGGCTAGCCTTTCCCTCTGTGGTGCCGGGACCCTTCCCAGTATCCATCTGCAGCGCCGCACCTGACCAACGGTCCGGGAGTCTCTTTGGTTCACTCTCTTTGCCTTCTTTTTCCAGGGGTGAAAGATGGAAGCTGGACTGTACTGCAGCTTGTGGAAGCCTTGGGGTAAGAAAAGCCTTATGCATGTTATACCTCGTGTAAGGGCCTTGCAGGGGGGATTCCTGCGAGGAGGGACGGTGAGGAGGAAAAGTGTGCGTGCTTGTCCAGGACGAGCTGGCTTCAGCGCTAGTAGACACACCACGGCACACAGGCCTGCAAGGATGCTCTCCACTCACGGCATGCGGCCGGGGTGGTCCTCGCTTGGGAGCTGTTTTGGAAAGAGCAAGGCCAGAGCAGCTCTTGATGCTCCCCCAGGACCGAGGAGAGGTGTTGCG